AAGGCATCAACAATATGTAGGAAGGATTAAAGACATTTTCTGGGACCAGTCTTTCCATGCCGGTAAACGTTTGCTGGTGTCTTCTGAGAGGCATGTTCTGGCTTCAGTTCACTCCCACAATGGATCCCTGGGTCAGTATCATCAAAACATGTCACCTCATTCAGTATATATCATATTGGATCTCTGGATCAGTGTCATCAAATTTGGGCTATACAGAATTTAATCATGAGACTAACTTCATCTTATCCCCAAAAAAATCTAAAATAAGTATCTCATTTGTTGAATAATAATAATGTTAACCTTCTTTTTTTGAAGCCTGGAGAAAAGTTTTAGAAGAAGGAAAAAGAGGCCAGATAGATAAAACACTCTACTCAGGAAATGGTAAGTAGATAAGAAAGCTCAGTCAGTGATATTAAGTCAGATTTGGTCATGCAGGTGCTGATATGTGGTAATTTTTTTGGAGATGATAGGGATGGAGTTAAATTTATAAGCTGAATTGTGATTGAACTTTTTTCAGTTTTGATCACGGTGAATGGAGGTGGACAGTTTGTCCGAAAATGGAATCCTGGGACAGGTATAGCAGACTGGGACGTCGCTCTGCCCGGGTCAAAACAGGGGAGGTAATCAAGCTCTGTACGATCAGAATACACTGTCTATTGTTTATCATTGTAGTATGTTTTGTTCTTTACTTAATTTGAAAAGGATTTATATTTCTGTCAGTTGAAACTTTGTTTTGTACATCTATAAATTTTTATTGATTTTAAAAATCTTGATTTTAAGTAGAAAAAATATTTTTTGAATGTCCTTACCTTACAAACTTATGTTTGACAGGACGGACATTGCTCTGTGCAGTAAGGATCTGGTGGCTGTTATGACACAAGAAGCTCTGGTTGGTTTGGAAACTAGGTCAGGGAAACAGAAATGGTCCATTACACTACCTCAAAGGTATGTTAAAAAACTGTGACAGTTTTTTTTCCCCACTTTATTGTCTGAGATACGTGTACAAGATATATAATTTAGAGAATGTGCTGAAAACTTATAGATGATTTAATTTTTTTGGTTAATTCTGTATTTGATTGCCATCCACAGATTGAATTCATTTTCATATGGTACTTACTGTACATCAACATGAATCCAGCAAAATTAGGCTTAAATTATTTCTTTTTTCAGTAATCAAGTGGTATACACACTTCTGACCTTGTCGGGAACAAACCTTTATGTGATTGGTCAGTCTTATGGAAAACAGGTCACCATAGTAACAGTAGACATGGAAGGAGTGATCAAGTCCACGCGATCCGTGCCGTCCTCCTGGCTGTCGGCTAACACACAGTACAGTAGCCTGTGACATTATGTTGATTTATGTATAGCTATGACAGTTAGTTTACAACAGTCCTGATTCAAATATAAACTTGATATATCCACTACATGTTTCAGATGTGTGGTGTCTGATGGGGGATTCTTGGTTTGCTACAGAAGTGAGGACCAGTCTCTACAGGTGTTAAGTCTACCTGAGGGGCAGACATTTAAGACAACGAGTTTACAGGTGGGTGTAGATTTCTGTTATAATAACAGTTGTAATAATATTGTTTTTCTTTTATTTCATATTTTCATTATGGAAAAATAAATATTTGAAAAAAGGAAGTGTGTGAAATTTTATCCTGTTAGTGGGGGTTTTAAATTTATACTAACATAATTAATAATTTATTTTTTAGCACATGTAAGGTTGAAAATTCATACCAACATAATCTTTTGATGTTAGCACATGTAAAGTGACAAAAATTGTCTCTTGTTCAGGTTTTAGGCTTAGAAGTAACTGATGGTGTTACCATAGAAACGTCTAAGAAGACAGATGATCCGTACGTGTTTCTGCGGATGTCAAAGGATCACTTGGTCTTAGTAGAAATCACGGCCCAGGGAGCCAAACTCAAGAAAGACCTCCCTAAGGTTAGTACAGTGCACGACTGGCTGTATAAAACGTGGAGTGCTATGTAGTCATAATAAAACAGCTTGCAAATGTCATTATAAAACCTAGTAATGACAATACTGATTATATTCTGTCTAATTTTAGATCTGTGCAGCACAAGTGACCTCCCTTGATGACCAGTCTATGTTATTTACAATAGAGAGGTCTCCAGGGGTGAGTATATTCAACTCAAATCATGGACAAAACTCAAGAAGTTGTATTTTTATACAGTCACAAAGTTAGAATATTCAACTGTGTACATGTATACATAACATGAAGTTGACTTATAGCTATTTGTCAAAGATAATTTATTTTGTTGGAAGTTTTAAGCCAAATAAAAGCCAGTAATTTTTGGGTTCTATACATAATGCTTTTCATAGCTTTAAAAAGAATATTCCATGATATCCTCTATATATCACACACTCTTTTAATACTGTTTTTAAATAAACAGGAGCTAAAGATGAGAGTTTATGATCTGGGTACTGGAGGTGAAATAGCTGACTTATATCAGACCATAACCTACCTACCACAACATGGATATCCTCAGAGGGTAAGATATATAGGGACAATTAGGGTAAGTAGGGAGGGGTGGGGGTTAGAGATTCAGTAAGGCAACATTTATTTAAACTATAAGGATAAAATTTACAGAGATGGGATGTTTTATAAAGAGAAGTTTGGATTTGATTTTAAAGAAAAACATTTGTAGGAAGACTGTAATGTTTTGTTATTTTAAGTTATAGATCTTACGTATGGAATGCATTTAAAACTTAATATTCTTCTTCAAGTGAATTCTCTTATTGAGGAAATGGAATTTGTGTATCATGGAAAGGTGATTGTGACATACAGATTTATTCCAGGCATTTTTTATGATGTTGAATATTAGATACTTTAATACCCATGTTTGAAGGTGTTTCAGTGAACGAAACAACTTTATAATAATCCTATAATATTTACACAGCCAAGCTGTTGTTATGCCTGTCAGTACAGTATGGATCTGTCTTTCAGATGGAGGTTCTGCTGTTTAAGAAGCGAGACCTGAGGATTGGGTGTAGGTTTGCTATTCTCTCCGAGGATTACTCCATGCAGATGGTACTGAAAGCAGGTAGGACATTATATTTCATGTCTTGTGACAACTTTAATGTAAGTCATCAGATTACATGTAGGTGTCTGTTTTGAGCGATGACAATGTTTTATATGACCCTGATTTTACCCTTTTCACTTTCTTTAGAGCGTGACGCAGCCCCGGGTAAATTAGTAATCAGAGCTGTGTATATAAGTGTACACGTATATTGCATGAGTTTTGTGTCAGAGGTTACTGTTGTGTGTTATTCATTGTCTAGAGTTATAAATTAGGGAATGGTGTTACAAGATCATCAAGTTATTGTCAAATGTGGTGTTACAGGATCATCAATTTATTGTAAAATGTGCCTTCATTGTTTACTTTGTTTACTTGTATTTGAAAAATTTTGATGTAGACAGTTTTTAAATTATTAATGTTTATGAAGAATTTGAAAATCTAAAGTAACTACATGTAGTAATTTCCATAACTATGTTATTAGGTTGGAAATACGTTTAGATTCAAAATATTTACATAACATGACATAAAACCTTTTACACAGAGATATAAAATTTTGAATATTGGCACAGAGATATGAGGTCTGTGAGTAAAATAAATGGGAATAGTATTGCACATAAAAATGTCTAAATATAATTTGAGAGGATTCAAAACTAAAGAGTACCTGTGCATTTCATTTATGGTTTCTTCATCTGAATTGATATTTCTTCATGGATCTAGTAGAAAATTTTTACTTGTTTTTACAGGTAAGATAGCGTGGAGACGAGAGGAAGCTCTGGCGTACGTATTGTCTGTAGAAATGATTGATCTCCCCGTGTCTGAAAACCAGGCTAAATATGAGGACGAATTCGGATCTCACAAGGGTAATACAGGCACAGTCTGATATAGATATAATGATAAAGATAATAATATAGATATAATGATAAAGAAGTTGATCTCACAAGGGTAATCCCACAGTCGGATAATTATATAATGATAAAGATGACGATGTCACAAGGGTAATCCGACAGGCGTAGATGGGTAATTATATAATGAAAAAGAAAAAGATGTGTCTTCCAACTTCGAAAATTAACCATATGTCACTGTATGTGATGTAAATAATTTTTTTTCTTTTAAATATATGTTCTTTTGTTTATTATCAATTCTAGATGACATTGCTACAATGTTTGTAAAGAGATTCAAGACTCAGTTCTCCCAGCTTAAGGTAAGCTTACTTTAGTCAGGTGTCCCATTGAGCCATGATATATACTTGTAAAATATTGCATGTCAAACTGGTTCCAACAAATAAACAATATATACATGTATAGAGATGCTAGTTTTTTATAAATCTTTGTAACTGAGTGAGTGCATAGTTAGTCATGGACCATTATCCTGTGAAATGCAGATTGAATCACATAAAATTCATTTTTATCCTTTCACCTCTATTATAAAGCAGTGCTTTAAATCTTAATCAACTTGACAAGTATATGAACATTAATTTCTGAAAAAAAGATTAATTGCACAAAAAGCTATTTTTAGAGTAGAAAAGGATTACATGTATTTGAAACATAAAACAAATCGGAGAATTATTCAAGTGCATGATACTGTGTATATGATGGAATGTGTGAACTGAATATGAGTACTGATTAAACTTTAATTTTTTTTACCAACAGACATACATACAACAACAGATACAGAGGCTTCAAGGTCACCGACACCACCACCATGACATTGAGGCCATGGCAGAAGGAGGTTCTGAAGACGAGGATGAGGAATTAACGAGGGACGAATTCAACCTCAATAAACTGATTGTCTTAGTAACCGGAGCAGGCAAAGTAAGTACAAAATCAAACTGTTCATCCTAGTAACAGAGGCTGGCAAAGTAAGTACTAATGGGGGCAGGCAAAGTAAGTACTAACTAAACCTCAACATACTGATCATCTTAGTAACAGGGGCAGGCAAAGTAAGTACTAATTTTACCTCAATAAACTGATAGTCTTAGTAACAGGGGCTGGCAAAGAAAATACTAAGTCAAACTTATCATCCTTGTAACGGGGCAGGCAAAGAAAGTACTAAGTCAACCTCAAAGTAAGTACTTGACTATCAATATGGGTATTTTCATTTGGTTGTCTTTTACCATCTTACAAAAACTCAGCTCTTTATTTTTTAAACTATTTTTTCTGCACTCGTCTTTTAGAGACCATATGTCTTACTAAAATTTTCTTCTTTTGGACTTCTTTTGTGCATTCAAAGAAAAAAAAATTGGGCCATAACAGAAATATTTGCAAGAAAAAAATGAGAGGCAGCTACTTGACATAAAAAAAAATCAAAAACTCTAGATGTAGTAAAACACAGTTTCATTTGTAAGCTTTCATTCATAATATTCATCTTCACTTTAAAGTTAAACATGCTTATAAATTTTTTTCTCAAAAATATTTGTGTAAACTTTGTAAAATCCATTTTTTTCTTCAGATTTATGGTGTGCGTAGTACCAATGGTCACATTGAATGGGAACACTTTTTTCCTGAGTTAACTCCCTTTGATAGATATGATCAACAGAAACTATTACTGTTTGTACAGAGGACTACGGCTCATTTCCCTAACCCCCCTCAGTGTACAGTTGTGGGCAAACATAAGGTACAGGTCTAAAATACTAATCTTACATCATGTGAAAAACACTGTGAAATGATAAGTTGATTTTTTATGACTTTCAAATTTCATAGGTTAAGGTACAACAAAGTTAAAGGTTCAAGTTCAAAGATTGAGATTCCTGAGCTGACTTCAGTGTTTCAAAACTCAAATTTCCATGATGCACAAACTACATACTGTAAAATCACAAATTTTTGTGGGGGGTTAATTTTCGTTGTTTTTTAGGTGTGAAGGGACCCACAAATTCATAACCACCAAGGAATGTAAATGCATATGCATTACTACTCAATACTTCTCCAACTACGAAATAAAATCCCAACAAACCACTAACTTTTTCTCAAACATCAAAAATTCGACCCCAAGAAAATATGTGATTTTATAGTTTTTAGCTCACCTGAGCCGAAGGCTCAAGTGAGCTTTTCTGATCACATTTTGTCCGTCGTCCGTCCGTCTGTCCGTCTGTCTGTCTGTCCGTCCGTAAACTTTTCACATTTTCAACTTCTTCTCAAGAACCACTGGGCCAATTTTGACCAAACTTGGTACAAAGCATCATTGGGTGAAGGGGAATTTAAATTGTTAAAATGAAGGGACATATCCCCTCGCAAGGGGAGATTATCAAGAAAAGGCAAAAATAGGGTTGGGTCATTAAAAAATCTTCTTCTCAAGAACCACTGGGCCAGTAAAGCTGAATCTTATGTGGAAACATCTTGGGGTAGTGTAGATTCTAAATTGTTCAAATCATGACCCCCGGGGGAAGGGCGGGGCCACAATGGGGAATCAAAATTTTAGATAGAAATATATAGGAAAAATCTTTGAAAATCTTCTTCTCAAGAACCACTGGGCCAGAAAAGCTGAAACTTATGTGGAAGCATCCTGGTATAGTGTAAATTCTAAATTGTTCAAATCATGACCCCCGGGGGAAGGGTGGGGCCACAATGGGGAATCAAAATTTTAGATAGAAATATATAGGAAAAATCTTTGAAAATCTTCTTCTCAAGAACCACTGGGCCAGAAAAGCTGAAACTTATGTGGAAGCATCCTGGTATAGTGTAGATTCTCAATTGTTCAAATCATGACCCCCGGGGGAAGGGCGGGGCCACAATGGGGAATCAAAGTTTTAGATAGAAATATATAGGAAAAATCTTTGAAAATCTTCTTCTCAAGAACCACTGGGCCAGAAAAGCTGAATCTTATGTGGAAGCATCCTGGTATAATGTAGATTCTAAATTGTTCAAATCATGACCCCCGGGGGAAGGGCGGGGCCACAATGGGGAATCAAAGTTTTAGATAGAAATATATAGGAAAAATCTTTGAAAATCTTCTTCTCAAGAACCACTGGGCCAGAAAAGCTGAAACTTATGTGGAAGCATCCTGGTATAGTGTAGATTCTAAATTGTTCAAATCATGACCCCCGGGGGAAGGGCGGGGCCACAATGGGGAATCAAAGTTTTAGATAGAAATATATAGGAGAAATCTTTGAAAATCTTCTTCTCAAGAACCACTGGGCCAGAAAAGCTAAAACTTATGTGGAAGCATCCTGGTATAATGTAGATTCTAAATTGTTCAAATAATGACCCCCGGGGGAAGGGCGGGGCCACAATGGGGAATCAAAGTTTTAGATAGAAATATATAGGAAAAATCTTTGAAAATCTTCTTCTCAAGAACCACTGGGCCAGTAAAGCTGAAACTTATGTGGAAGCATCCTGGTATAGTGTAGATTCTAAATTGTTCAAATCATGACCCCCGGGGGAAGGGCGGGGCCACAATGGGGAATCAAAGTTTTATATAGAAATATATAGGAAATATCTTTGAAAATCTTCTTCTCAAGAACCACTGGGCCAGAAAAGCTGAAACTTATGTGGAAGCATCCTGGTATAGTGTAGATTCTAAATTGTTCAAATCATGACCCCCGGGGGAAGGGCGGGGCCACAATGGGGAATCAAAATTTTAGATAGAAATATATAGGAAAAATCTTTGAAAATCTTCTCAAGAACCACTTGGCCAGAAAAAGTGAAGCTTATGTGGAAGCATTCTGGGGTAGTGTAAATTCTAAATTGTAGGAATCATGACCCCCAGGGGAAGGGCGGGGCCATTATAGGGAATCAAAGTTTTAGATAGAAATATATAGGAAAAATCTTTGAAAATCTTCTTCTCAGGAACCACTGGGCCAAAAAAGCTGGAACATATGTGCCCTGGAAGGATCATGGGGTAGTGTAGATTTCAAAATGTCTAAATTATGATCAGTGGGGTAGGGATGGGATGCATTATGTATAACAAGGGGGAAATCTGGTAAAGAACAGAATGGTCAACGCTTCTCAGGTGAGCGATGTGGCCCATGGGCCTCTTGTTACTAGATAGACTAGTCTGAGAAAATACATGTAACATGAACTTGACACCTTGTAATTTAGCTGACCGGCAATGGCTTCCTGTTCTCCTTTAATCCAATCAGTGGAGAGCCTGTAGACACGCCCCCTGGTGGCCAGATGTTGGATTACAGAATTGTACAGACCAGTATGGTGGGGGAATTAGATGACCATTTCCTGAGAGGAATTCTCCTACTGGACCCCAGTGATCAGGCAAGGAGGTTTAATTTACTAGAAATTATATATATTAACTAAATATATGGGTTATATATAATAATTTGCTTCCATTTCTTGTGAGCCAAATCCTGAATAAAATAGATGTTACTCTTTGTACTTGGTAATTTCAGTACTTTTAGTACTTCAATTACATCCTCAGATTAGTTTACTACAATAAAACTCAGTTTGAGTTATAGATACATGTAGATCGGTTTTAAGGAAATTTCTGTTATAAGTAATTTATTTGTGAATCCCTTAGCCACTGTGTTCCTTATTTTAAAGGAAATAAAATTTGAATTTATCCCAGTCACATCCTCACAGCCAAGTTTTACTGTATTAACTTACCTGCTTACACAATTTATTGTACATGTAACTCTCAAAGCCTGATTTTCCTATTTATAGCAAGTATTTCTCTCAGTTCTTAATATTTTTCTTTTCATTCAGGTTCATGTATTCCCAGAAAAGTGTTCCTCTGTTTTGAGGAAGACGTACAAGTCCCAGTTTATGTTTGTGGCAGACAGAGACACAGGGTTTATTTATGGGTACAGGACAGTCCCTGACAAAGAGGTAGCCAATTTTGATTATAAAAGATGTTTACAATTTTGAAATATTTGTCATATTTTCTGCAGTGATATTAAAGTTGACATTCTCTTCTTGTAATGCAGAAATTCATCATGGAGAAAGTTTGGACAGTAAATTTGCAGAAAAAACAACAGACAATAACACAAGTCATGGGGAAAAGACCACAGGGTAGGTATAAAAAACAAAAGACAATAACACAAGTCATGGAGAAAAGGCCACAGGGTAGGTATAAAAAACAACAGACAATAACACAAGTCATGGAGAAAGGTATAAAAAACAACAGGCAATAACTCAAGTCATGGGGAAAGGTATAAAAACAACAGACAATAACACAAGTCGTGGAGAAAAGGCCACAGGGTAGATATAAAAAAACAGACAATTACACAAGTCATGGGGAAAGGTATAACAACAACAGGCAATAACACATGTCATGGAGAAAAGGCCACAGGGTAGATATAAAAAACAACAGACAATTACACAAGTCATGGGGAAAGGTATAAAAACAGCAGACAATAACTCAAGTCATGGGGAAAAGGTATAAAAACAACAGGCAATAACACAAGTCATGGGGAAAGGTATAAAAACAACAGGCAATAACACAAGTCATGGAGAAAAGGCCACAGGGTAGATATAAAAAAACAGACAATTACACAAGTCATGGGGAAAGGTATAACAACAACAGGCAATAACACATGTCATGGAGAAAAGGCCACAGGGTAGATATAAAAAACAACAGACAATTACACAAGTCATGGGGAAAGGTATAAAAACAGCAGACAATAACTCAAGTCATGGGGAAAAGGTATAAAAACAACAGGCAATAACACAAGTCATGGGGAAAGGTATAAAAACAACAGGCAATAACACAAGTCATGGAGAAAAGGCCACAGGGTAGATATAAAAAACAACAGACAATTACACAAGTCATGGGGAAAGGTATAAAAACAACAGGCAACAACACAAGTCATGGGGAAAAGGTATAAAAACAACAGACAATAACACAAGTCATGGGGAAAGGTATAAAAAACAAAAGACAATAACACAAGTCATGGGGAAAAGGTATAAAAACAACAGACAATAACACAAGTCATGGGGAAAAGGTATAAAAAACAAAAGACAATAACACAAGTCATGGGGAAAAGGTATAAAAACAACAGACAATAACAAAAGTCATGGGGAAAGGTATAAAAACAACAGACAATAACACAAGTCATGGGGAAAGGTATAAAAAACAACAGACAATAACACAAGTCATGGGGAAAAGGTATAAAAACAACAGGCAATAACACAAGTCATGGGGAAAAGGTATAAAAACAACAGACAATAACACAAGTCATGGGGAAAAGGTATAAAAACAAAAGACAATAACACAAGTCATGGGGAAAAGGTATAAAAACAACAGGCAATAACACAAGTCATGGAGAAAGGTATAAAAACAACAGACAATAACACAAGTCATGGAGAAAGGTATAAAAACAACAGGCAATAACACAAGTCATGGGGAAAAGGTATAAAAACAACAGGCAATAACACAAGTCATGGGGAAAAGGTATAAAAACAACAGACAATAACACAAGTCATGGGGAAAAGGTATAAAAACAAAAGACAATAACACAAGTCATGGGGAAAGGTATAAAAACAACAGACAATAACACAAGTCATGGAGAAAGGTATAAAAACAACAGACAATAACACAAGTCATGGAGAAAGGTATAAAAACAACAGACAATAACACAAGTCATGGAGAAAGGTATAAAAACAACAGGCAATAACACAAGTCATGGAGAAAGGTATAAAAACAACAGACAATAACACAAGTCATGGAGAAAGGTATAAAAACAACAGGCAATAACACAAGTCATGGGGAAAAGGTATAAAAACAACAGGCAATAACACAAGTCATGGGGAAAAGGTATAAAAACAACAGACAATAACACAAGTCATGGGGAAAAGGTATAAAAACAAAAGACAATAACACAAGTCATGGGGAAAGGTATAAAAACAACAGACAATAACACAAGTCATGGAGAAAGGTATAAAAACAACAGACAATAACACAAGTCATGGAGAAAGGTATAAAAACAACAGGCAATAACACAAGTCATGGGGAAAAGGTATAAAAACAACAGGCAATAACACAAGTCATGGGGAAAAGGTATAAAAACAACAGGCAATAACACAAGTCATGGGGAAAAGGTATAAAAACAACAGACAATAACACAAGTCATGGGGAAAGGTATAAAAACAACAGGCAATAACACAAGTCATGGGGAAAAGGTATAAAAACAACAGACAATAACACAAGTCATGGGGAAAAGGTATAAAAACAACAGGCAATAACACAAGTCATGGAGAAAGGTATAAAAACAACAGGCAATAACACAAGTCATGGAGAAAGGTATAAAAACAACAGGCAATAACACAAGTCATGGGGAAAAGGTATAAAAACAACAGACAATAACGCAAGTCATGGGGAAAAGGTATAAAAACAACAGACAATAAAACAAGTCATGGAGAAAGGTATAAAAACAACAGGCAATAACACAAGTCATGGAGAAAGGTATAAACAACAACAGACAATAACACAAGTCATGGGGAAAAGGTATAAAAACAACAGACAATAACACAAGTCATGGAGAAAGGTATAAAAACAACAGGCAATAACACAAGTCATGGAGAAAGGTAAAAAAAACAACAGACAATAACACAAGTCATGGGGAAAAGACCACAGGGTAGGTATAAAAAACAAAAGACAATAACACAAGTCATGGGGAAAAGGTATAAAAACAACAGACAATAACAAAAGTCATGGGGAAAGGTATAAAAACAACAGACAATAACACAAGTCATGGGGAAAGGTATAAAAAACAAAAGACAATAACACAAGTCATGGGGAAAAGACCACAGGGTAGGTATAAAAAACAAAAGACAATAACACAAGTCATGGGGAAAAGGTATAAAAACAAAAGACAATAACACAAGTCATGGGGAAAGGTATAAAAACAACAGACAATAACACAAGTCATGGGGAAAGGTATAAAAACAACAGGCAATAACACAAGTTATGGAGAAAGGTATAAAAACAACAGGCAATAACACAAGTCATGGGGAAAGGTATAAAAAACAAAAGACAATAACACAAGTCATGGAGAAAAGGCCACAGGGTAGGTATAAAAAACAACAGACAATAACACAAGTCATTGGGAAAGGTATAAAAACAACAGACAATAACACAAGTCATGGAGAAAGGTATAAAAACAACAGACAATAACACAAGTCATGGAGAAAGGTATAAAAACAACAGGCAATAACACAAGTCATGGAGAAAGGTATAAAAACAACAGGCAATAACACAAGTCATGGAGAAAGGTATAAAAAACAACAGACAATAACACAAGTCATGGGGAAAAGACCACAGGGTAGGTATAAAAAACAAAAGACAATAACACAAGTCATGGGGAAAAGGTATAAAAACAACAGACAATAACAAAAGTCATGGGGAAAGGTATAAAAAACAACAGACAATAACACAAGTCATGGGGAAAGGTATAAAAACAACAGGCAATAACACAAGTTATGGAGAAAGGTATAAAAACAACAGGCAATAACACAAGTCATGGGGAAAGGTATAAAAAACAAAAGACAATAACACAAGTCATGGAGAAAAGACCACAGGGTAGGTATAAAAAACAACAGACAATAACACAAGTCATTGGGAAAGGTATAAAAACAACAGACAATAACACAAGTCATGGAGAAAGGTATAAAAACAACAGACAATAACACAAGTCATGGAGAAAGGTATAAAAACAACAGGCAATAACGCAAGTCATGGAGAAAGGTATAAAAACAACAGGCAATAACACAAGTCATGGAGAAAGGTATAAAAAACAACAGACAATAACACAAGTCATGGGGAAAAGACCACAGGGTAGGTATAAAAAACAAAAGACAATAACACAAGTCATGGGGAAAAGGTATAAAAACAACAGACAATAACAAAAGTCATGAGGAAAGGTATAAAAGCAACAGACAATAACACAAGTCATGGGGAAAGGTATAAAAAACAAAAGACAATAACACAAGTCATGGGGAAAAGACCACAGGGTAGGTATAAAAAACAAAAGACAATAACACAAGTCATGGGGAAAAGGTATAAAAACAAAAGACAATAACACAAGTCATGGGGAAAGGTATAAAAACAACAGACAATAACACAAGTCATGGGGAAAGGTATAAAAACAACAGGCAATAACACAAGTTATGGAGAAAGGTATAAAAACAACAGGCAATAACACAAGTCATGGGGAAAGGTATAAAAAACAAAAGACAATAACACAAGTCATGGAGAAAAGGCCACAGGGTAGGTATAAAAAACAACAGACAATAACACAAGTCATGGGGAAAGGTATAAAAACAACAGACAATAACACAAGTCATGGAGAAAGGTATAAAAACAACAGACAATAACACAAGTCATGGAGAAAGGTATAAAAACAACAGGCAATAACACAAGTCATGGGGAAAAGGTATAAAAACAACAGGCAATAACACAAGTCATGGGGAAAAGGTATAAAAACAACAGGCAATAACACAAGTCATGGGGAAAAGGTATAAAAACAACAGACAATAACACAAGTCATGGAGAAAGGTATAAAAACAACAGGCAATATCACAAGTCATGGAGAAAGGTATAAAAACAACAGGCAATAACACAAGTCACGGAGAAAGGTATAAAAACAACAGGCAATAACACAAGTCATGGAGAAAGGTATAAAAACAACAGACAATAACACAAGTCATGGAGAAAGGTATAAAAACAACAGGCAATAACTCAAGTCATGGGGAAAGATATAAAAAACAACAGACAATTACACAAGTCCTGGAGAAAAGGCCACAGGGTAGGTATAAAAAACAAAAGACAATAACACAAGTCATGGGGAAAGGTATAAAAAACAACAGACAATTACACAAGTCATGGAGAAAAGGCCACAGGGTAGGTATAAAAAACAACAGACAATAACTCAAGTCATGGGGAAAGATATAAAAAACAACAACAGACAATAACACTAGTCATGGGGAAAAGACCACTTGGTCATGTTCATTGTGTATTCTGTCTTTTCAGAACAAGTTCATTCCTAGGGTCGTGTTCATTCCGTATTCTTTTTTTTTCAGAACAAGTTCATTCCCAGGGTCGTGTCTTAGGTGACAGAAGCGTGTTGTATAAATACCTTAATCCCAATCTGGTTGTTGTGGTTACAGAGGGAGAAATTCAGGAACAGTCCCAGAAAGGTCAGATAGCTGTCTTATAACCTTGACCTTACACATTTTTTTTCATTACATTGATGGCAAAAAGACTCATTATAAATAATTAACAATCCTTATCATTTACTATAATTATTATTTTTTATGATAATACTATAGTAATAGCAATAATTTGTTGTAATTGAAGATATTATGAATTCAGGTCAGACTGCTTCTTAAAATTACTAATTTTTTAATTAGATAAAAATTGATCTGTAATTTATGAATTCTGTTTCAGGTCCCTCCAACTTTATAAATCTGTACCTGCTGGACAGTGTGACAGGTCACATGGTGTTCCATTGCAGCCATAAACGAGCCAAGGGCCCGGTCACTGTGGTCCACTCGGAAAACTGGGTCCTGGTAAGTAGGTCACTCCTCTCATAATTATCTGTTAAATGTACTACTTTTCTCATACAAATCTGTTAAATGTACTATGGTCAGTTGGCCACTTCTCTCATAATTATCTGTTAAATGTACTATGGTCAGTTGGTCACTTCTCTCATACTAATCTGTTAAATGTACTATGGTCAGTTGGTCACTTCTCTCATACTAATCTGTTTTATGTAACTACAGTACCAGAAGCTGATAAACCGATTTTTCTGTTTTAGTATGCCTACACATGATATGAATACACACTGTTTTCTATGTTAGTTTCAGTTTCAATAATTTTTTATACAAGTGTGGACTGATTGTTTTTTCAGTATAACTACTTTAGTTAGATCTCCTGTCACCATTATAAGAGTATTGACTGATTGTTTTATTTTATGTTTCAGTATAACTACTTTAGTCAGAAGTCTCGTCGCCATGAGATCGCGGTGTTAGAACTGTACGAGGGTAAAGACCAGACTAATTCCTCCGCATTCTCCTCGTTCTCGTCTCCCAGACAACCGCTGGTCCTCCGACAGTCCTACATCATGCCGCTGTATATATCTACCATGGCAACCACCATCACAGAGAAAGGCATCACCAGCAAACAGCTCATATGTAAGAGTATAAGAACAAGTTTAATTTATGTCTTTATTAAGTAGCAGATTATCTATAGTCTGAATTATGACTGTTTTGTCAATGAGCTGTTCTTAAATATGCATATGTGCTAGCTCTGTCTAAATTCCTACTGTTATTGTAATGCTTGATTTCAATTGTATTGAGACTAGAAAGAATTACTAATTGTGTATAATTTTATAGCCGACTTAATAATAATGTTTTCAGTTGCCCTGCGGTTGGGAGGGCTGCTGGCTCTACCCAAAGCTTTACTGGATCCAAGGCGACCTCTTCTACCCACACAGGAGACCATGTAAGACTCAATTACAGTTAACATCACTAGATCACAGCTCTGATATCAGCTGTGATTACATCAGCAACAACAACAAGAGAAACATTTAAGACTCTCAGAGTTACTGGCATTTGTAATTTTACTGTAAATAGTTCTACGTGTGCATATGATTTCAGACATGCACAGGTTTTGGTTCTGTTTATAATAAGGGTATCCCAAAGTGTTGCATTCCCTGCAAAAGAGCACATTAATTTCATTATAGATCATTAATTATGCACACAACCATTTATTCACTCCCACACACAAGTGCTTTACTATATCCCCTCTATCTAGAAAATGCTGGATTATATGTTCTTCCTATGTTTACAGGGAGGAGGGCACTATTCCATATATCCCAGAGTTACCAGTCAATGCTGAGGCCATCATTAACTACAACCAGAGTCTGTATAACGTCCAGGGCATCCACACATCACCAGCAGGGCTAGAGTCCACATCACTGGTGTTATCATATGGATTAGGTATGTCTGTCTGTCTGTATCCACACATCACCAGAAGGACTAGAGTCCACATCACTGGTGTTATCATATGGATTAGGTATGTCTGTCTGTCTGTATCCACACATCACCAACAGGGCTAGAGTCCACATCACTGGTGTTATCATATGGATTAGGTATGTCTGTCTGTCTGTCTGTATTCACACATCACCAGCAGGGCTAGAGTCCACATCACTGGTTTTATCATATGGATTAGGTATGTCTGCCTGTCTGTCTGTATTCACACTTCACCAGCAGGGCTAGAGTCCACATCACTGGTGTTATCATATGGATTAGGTATGTCTGTCTGTGTGTTTGTGTACACAATGATTGGGAAATTCACAATTCACCAGCTCAATATCACTGCTGTAAGCAGATGAACTTTGGATGTTTCTCTGTCTGTTTTCTCGATAGTTTTACTTCAGGCATGAAAGAATGAAGATTAGAATGGTTTGAACTAATGAAAAGTTGTTTCATCATTTTAAGAGAGTAATTTTATGAAGATATACTGTAATGAGTTATATTTAGTATACAATTATATACTAGTCTTATGGAATTTTATAATTTTAGCCATTCAATCGCTTTTCTACTAATGAAAATATAAATTTGAACATCTACATTTAAGCTATGTAAGACAATAATTTCTGATTAGAATTTTACCTTCACTAACCACACAGAAGTGCACTTGATTTATTTTTCTTTTAGACCTTTACTTTACACGAGTTCAGCCCTCTAAGATGTTTGACGTCTTGAAGGAAGACTTTGATTATTTCTTTATATCAGCTGTGTTACTAGGAATGTTTGTGGTTACCATAGTGACTCAGAAACTATCTGCGAGAAGAGCGCTTAGTCGAGCTTGGAAATAAACAATGTGATGAATTGATATCTTCTTAAGATAAAGCTGGGTGATTCTTATGACAGTGTTGATAAATAGGTGCATATGCTGCATTCATCTTCGTGAAAAAAAAAACACAAATCTTTGGAATTTGGATGTATGAAACAAAGGAAAGAAGCATGCTTGAATGTTTTGTCTCATTTAAATATACATGTACATGTGCAATTGTTGTCATGTTAGAAATTGTTAGTTTTTATGAACTAAGATTTTGTTATCATTCCATATCCATGCAGAGAAGTAATGCCAATTTTCCTAAATTTTTTATAATGTAAAACGAGGTATGCTGTATTGAATATTTGAGAGAATGTGTAAGATTTAAAAGTGGATGCAAGTTGCCTGAATGATAGATTTATGTGACATGTATGTGTATGTAATCAGATTTAAACCCTTTCTTTACTTTAAAAAAAGATCTCACATGTTTGAGGAAAGTTGTAGAATACCCTAAAATAGATCATGTTTTTTTTTGACTGAATTGATGCAAAATTTTGAATTTGAATTTGATATCTGTGTAATAATTTTTTTTTTATTAAATGAACAATGTATATAATATCAAAGGAATATTATATGGTTTGTGGGAACCAGAATTTTATTTACTCAACAGATGAAAATTTTAGGAAAACAGTTGGTTACGGGGCCATTTTTGTCAATCATAACCTGAAACTGACACCTGAGAAATCAGAAAAACATATAAACTTCAGTGTCAAATAGTCTTTATTATTTTTTTTTTTTCATTTTAGAGCAACATAAAGCATCATTTTTGCTCTTTCATCTTTAATGCAATAATTGTACAATAAGTTATTTTAAAAAAAATTAAAATCAAAATGCATATCTGTGAAACATTTTTTCTCAGTAGACAATTATCTATTCAAGAAAAATATACTCTTTCTAAGGTTCAAGTACATTTTAGTATTTTTTTAAATACAATATGTACGTATACATGTTTAAAGACTAAAGTTACATGTATATGTGGCATACCTGAGCTAAAAAAAAGAATACAAGTTGAGTCTAGATATATATACATGTATATGAACTTTGTTATTTATGTTCAAAGAGTCAGTAAATAATTCAGTCATTGCATATCTAAGAAATGCAATTGAATTAAAATGTGTAATTTACAGGAAAGTCCTTTGTTTTTAT